CTATGTATCATAAAGCAGGTCCACATATGAGTGAGTACATATCATGTTTGTCTTTTTGTGATTGGGTTACCTCAATCAGGATGGTTTCTTCTAGTTCCATCCATTTGCCTGCGAATTTCAAGATTCCATTACATTTTTCTGCTGAGTAGTACTCCATTGTATAAATGTACCACATTTTCTCTTTCCATTCTTCAGTTGAGGGGCATCTAGGTTGCTTCCAGGTTCTGGCTATTACAAACAATGTCAAGGTGGCTTTTTACAGAGCACAATTTAATTCCCCTGAGCATCACCCAATCACTACAACTTAGTAGGATAAATAGCCTCAAGAATCCTTAAAGTGAATACTTACTCATAAAATGCACATTTCCTTAAAGAAATAGAATATTGCCAAATGCACTTAACATTAAAACAGTGTAAAATATGCTCTATATTAGGCATATTTTATAACTGACTTGCTCCTGAATCTTTTAAATGTACATGTCCCCATTATGGCAATGTAGAAACTATTCCAAAAGGTTCTGAAAAATACATATACTCGGCATTTGATAATACCTGCATTTGTCAGATGTGGGGTTGGTGAATATCTTTTCACAGTCTGGGGGCTGCCGTTTTGTCTTGCTGACTGTCTCCTTTGCCTTACAGAAGCTTCTCAGTTTCAGGAGGTCCCATTTATCAATTGTTGACCTTAGTGTTTGTGCTACTCGTGTAATGTTCAGGAAGCTGTCTCCTGTACCAATTAATTCAAGGGTATTTCCCACTTTATCTTCTAATAGGTTCAGTGTAGCTGGATTTATGTTGAGGTCTTTGATCCATTTTGACTTAAGTTTTGTGGAAGGTGATAGGCTTCCGTCCAGCCTCAGTCATCTACATATCCGCAACCAGTTATGCCAACACCATTTGTTGAAGATGTTCTCTTTCTTCCAAACAATTTGGATTGTTTATCAAAAATCAGGTGTTCACAGGTGTGTGTGTGTTAATATCAGGGTTTTCGACTCTATTCCATTGGTCTACCTGTCTGTTTTTGTGCCAATACCAAGCTGTTTTCAGGACTATAGCTCTGTAATAGAGCTTGAAGTCAGGGATGTTGATACCTCCAGAAATTCCTTTATTGTACAGGGTTGTTTTGGCTATCCTGGGTCCTTTGTTTATCCATATAAAGTTGAGAATTGTTGTTTCAATGTCTGTGAAGAATTGTGTAGAGGGCTGATCTCCAAAATATACAAAGAACTCAAGAAGCTAGTCTCCAATACACCAAACAATCCAATTAAAAAGTGAGGTACAGAACTAAATAGACAATTCTCAATAGAGGAATCTAAAATGGCTGAAAGACACAAAAAAAGGTGTTCAACATCCTTAGTCATCAGGGAAATGCAAATCAAAACAACTCTGCGATACCATCTTACTCCTGTCAGAATGGCCAAAATCAAAAACACCAATGACAGTTCATGCTGGAGAGGATGTGGAGAAAGGGAACACTTCTCCACTGCTGGTGGGAGTGCCAACGTGTACAGCCACTTTGGAAATCAGTATGGTGACACCTCAAGAAAATGGGAATCAGTCTACCACAAGATCCAGCAATTCCACTCTTAGGCATATACCCAAAAGAAGCACATTCATACAACAAGGATATCTATTCAACTATGTTCATAGCAGCACTATTTGTAATAGCCAGAAACTGGAAGCAGCCCAGATGCCCCTCAACCAAAGAATGGATAGAGAAAATGTGGTACATTTATACAATGGAGTACTACTCAGCAGAAAACAACAATGGAATCTTGAAATTTGCAGGAAAATGGATGGAACTAGAAGAAACCATTCTAAGTGAGGTAACCCAATCACAAAAAGA